TGCATTATGTGCTGCTAACACGATTTTACTGACATTCCCACAATGGGAAAACTCGTGATACGCTCTGAAGTATTAGTATAGATGGCTTTGCTAACTGGCAGATAGTGTGGCATCTGCAAGATGCGAATCTCCAGAGATTTTTATCTGATTCATGCGCCCTAAAGCTGCAGAAAGTTAAAATATTTAAAGTAAATTTGTATTCTGCTTTGAGAGTATTGTACTTCTCCGTTTGACACTGTTTAGTGCATATTGTCTTGTGTCATTTATATTCCTCTTATATACTATTGTATTTTTCAAAAACTTTGTCTTACCGAAACTTTATAGCTTGGCAGCTGCAGCCACTCGAAGCTCTATTATCTTCAAGCATCATCACTCTTGACCCGCATCATTTATATATATATATACTTTTAGGAGGCTGTCCTCTTTCCTCACAACTCAACACTCGCAAGACAACAGAAAACTGACAAAAAATGAATAACGATTAAGGTTAATTACTATTGATTCTGGATATTACAATAAGCCGTCCGGTCAAAGCCGTTTTAAATTTTTTTGTCAGCTGGCCAAGTGGCTTAAAAAACGTCAACTCTTGTAATTTGAATGATTAATTTGAGCTAATTTTTGGAGAGAAGCCGAAAAGGGAAAACGAAATCTACGCGTTAACTGTGCCAAATCGTTTCGACTTGGCAGAGATTTTGCCCTAAAGAGATGGCTAATTTTGCTGGCACAAATTTGTTACAATCAAAAGCCGAAAATGAGAAACGAGAACGAACGTTTAGCCCGCGGCCCGAAAAAAGGCAAGCAACCAAGTAGGAAAAAAAATATTAGGCAAACCAAAGGAGCAGCATCATTTATCATAACGACGTGAGGCAACTAAGAAACGATTCACACAAAGATACGGATGCGAGTGGGTGGGGGATGGGTAGGGGGAGGTGGGTTTCCAGGAGGAGGTGGTGTGCCGTTTGGAGACATGGCTCAAAAACATGTTAAATGTTGACATGTGGTGGGCGTTCGTTTTTGGGGGTGGTGCCCAGAGCTTGTAAGCGAGATTGTTGTGCGTGATAAGCCAGGGGGTGGAGGTTGTTGGGGCCTTGGGGGTGGGGTGTACTTAAGGGGGGGTGGGTTCGTTGAAGGCGGTTCCCGGCAGGCGCCGATCATTTGTTTCATTTATTTTTCGATTTGGCCACAAACTGCACAAAAGACCCGGAGCAGATTTCAAGCCAATGCAGCCAAAGTGACATATTACCCATTAGACAAGGGGGAAACCGAAGCCCGCAATATTGGCTTGGCCGACTGGATGGATGGGGCTGGATGGGGTTGCGCAGAGTCGGAGGCTGCAAAGGTTCAATGCGGTTACGGTGCAGATGGAGTCGCTGTGCCATCATTTATCATCTATTGCAATTTTGTTTGCCTGGGAGGATTGGACAAGATAAAAGACGCCAGTGATGCCCAAAGACCTCGGCAGAGGGTTGTCCATCTGCCCCACGTACCAGTCTGTTTGCTTAAGCAAAATTGCTTGTAGTCACAAGCTGAGCCTGGGATATTTGTCAAATGGAGATAATGGCTAAAGAAGCCGAAGCCCGAAGCCTTGGAGTTGATGAAGGAACACGACAGCAAATCGAAGGTGTTGCTATGGCACTAGTTTTCATAAATTACCCATCACTTACGGTTCATTTATAAACATCAGGGATCTTTATTCGAAATGCCCTCAATTTATCATTCGAAATACCCAATTTCGAAGTTTATAAAGAAAATTAAAGGTAGGGGTGTTAAGTTTAATTTAAATTCCTATTTCTTTATGTTTGGGAATTATATGAAACCCTAAATTGAGCGGTAAAACTTACCAGACAATGTAATTTAAATAATTAACCAATCGATTTCTGAGTGCTACTTTTATATTGCAACAAGTAAACGGAAAACCTCATTGAACTCGAATAAAAACCCCATTTTGCATTACTAAAAATGGCATCGTTAACCACAAAAAGTTAATTTGCAAAACAAATACTTCCAGTCTTTGGCCTTTTGAAAAACCCCCCTCAGATGGTTTCCCACACCCATCCACCACTCCCTGCCCAAAAAAGAGTCCAAGTTATGAGATGGCCACTGCCAAACCGCTGACCCCAAGGAGTGACCTCAGTGAAAACTCTAATTTTTTGCTGGTCTTTGTTTTGGGTTGGGAAAAATCAGCATAGGAAATCGGCACAGCGGAAAGCACTTCACGAATTGCAACGCTAATTACATGAAAATGGAAACCGTACCGTAGACATTTTTTCCGTTTTTTCGGTTGTTTTTTTTATTTTTTAGCTTGGTGTACGAGTGTCTCCGGCCAGTCGTTTCGGCAGTTCTATGTGGATGCCCCATCCGCTCCTTGGCAGCGGTGTAACAACTGTGTGTAACGACTGTGACTCTGAGCAGTAGCAAGCTATTAAAAAGTTGCAAAAAATACTAGCAACGACAGCATCATGACTGCACGCTCCGAAAAATTCGACATACGATATGGGGAGACTCTCGACGCCGCCGCTACCACCACTACTTTTGCAGCTCCACATCGCAGGCACGCCCACACGGTGAAAAAATAGCATCGATATCACCATCCAGTCGATGAAATTCTATAGTGAAGATATCCTCAATTAATTAAATATAACGCAGCATATCAAGAATCGTATTCTAAGAAATTTATATATAATTTTCATAATCTCACGTTCGCACTAAAACAAGATAGATATGCACAAAGCTAAAGACAATTTAATTAATTAAATAACGTAACTGATAATAAAGACTTTTATTTTTAAAAAATTACAAAATTTATAAAAAGGTTGATTTTATATTTTATTGTTTTGTAAAAGAATTAATATTCTATTATTGCTATAGGAATGACAGAAAATGTTTATTAAGAAATTAAAAATACTCCACATTGTAGATATGCGTTAAACCTATGCGATTTTCTCTCAGTGCATTGGATAAACCAGCCAGTTATGAACATGGCGAATAGTACGAGCACAAAAAGGTTAAAAAAGTTCAAGAGCCGACCCGCGTTGGGCGCATGCAAGTGACATTTGCTCGTGACATGAGGTAGACGACAACGAATCCACTTCAAGACGCGGCCCTCGACAATCCCATCTCAGTACCCATCCCAGATCCCAGATCCCAGTCCCTTGCACCTTATGAAAATGCAATAGAGCGGCAACTTTCACATGAACCTGTGAACTTTGGGCCCAACTGACGACTCTTGGCCGGGACAACATCTTTCGGCCCCGGTGAAAAGGGTCAATGGAAGCGTGTCTGAGGCTGAAAAGCTGCCTGGAGGCAAATTGCGACGGGGACAGGACGCGTTGCATTTGATTAAGTCATGGGCGCTATTTTTAAAATGCTGCCGAGGAATTTGTCGTTGCCGCAGCAACTCAGCAACAGCAACGTGCAACATGTTGCACATTGCAGAGGAAGTCGCCAAGGCGGGCCCATTGGGGAGAAAAGTCAGCAAGGCCCAAGTGTATATGCACTGAGGGAAAAGTGTAAAACTGCTAGAGTAAACATAACTAGCTATAAAACAGACACTGACTTTTTATAGTTTAATATGACATTTTTACAACGAATATAGTCTATATAGATTTTAAACTATTTTTACTTAGGGATATGTTTACAAAAATAATATTTTAGAAGAAGTATTCTTGACAGCGATTAAATCTAACTATCGTTCAAATAAAATGCTATAACGAATGACTTAAAATAATTGTAGTTTTTCAGCTAGTAATTTTATTTTGAAGAGTGCATATATATACCCGCATGTCTGACACAATTTATACGCCACCCAGTTGAGCCATTTGCCGGGTCTGCCTTCGTCATTGGCTTCGCCTTCGACCATATCTACTTACTCGTCTAGGGCGATGTCTGGGCCTCTCTGTCTACCTACAAGCTCGCTGATTTTTATTGTTATTGCCAGTTGTCAAAGGAAGTGCGCCCCACGTTCCTCGGGTGTTCCAGCGATTTTCGTAAATTATTTCCTGGGCCACAGTTTGCCAAAGGCTGCCGCCGCTTCTCGTTCTCGTACGATTTTTATTTGGGGGAAAGTTGAATGCACTTGGTGGTGCACCCAAAGTGGCAGCTGAAAATTGGGCACCGACTGCACGTCATTGTTGATCAGTGTGACTTACTTAAATTTCGATTTGTGTGGTCCAGGAAAATCTTGGTGTTGGGACGTACAATGAGAAGTATAAACTACCTGCTTGCATCATTATCATTAGCATAAGACGTCATAACAAACCAAATGAGTTGGCAATCGCGGCCAGTCATCTCTGAAAAAAAGGGAAAAACAAAAAAAATAAGTAAATAAAAAAAAACACTACCGAACATGCTTCATTAACTCGAATCGACCTGGGTCAAACCGCAATCAGCCAGACAGGCAATCGAAGTAAAGGGAACAAATCTCGGACATGGCTCAGTTTGTTTGTCTTTACCCTGTTCTTGTTTTGCCAACCTCAGATCGCTGTTCCATTGCCGTTTCTCCCTAAATCCAGTTCGTGCTGTGTTGTTCTACATCGATTTCCAAGCGGGCCCCGTAGATACAGATACAACTGATGATAATCTCGAAAATAGTTTCCAGGGAATTCCCTTAACTCGAGCATTTGCCCGTGTTTATTTATATAAAATGTTGTTGTCGGCGACTGTCTGCGGATGGATCGGGCTGAGCAAACAAGCCTCTAGGAAAACTCATTGCTCTGAGTGCATTCAGAGAGATTTACATGCAAAGTAGTGGATGAGTTTGTTTTATCAACTAGCATGGGTGATGGGAATGTTCTTGGGAAGTATATAGAAAGTACACGTGCTCAGTTTATAGAGGAGTAAATATTATATTTATTTCTGTAATATTTTAATTTAAGTCGACTACTTTGAGAAGTTTACAAATAATACACCCAATTTCAAATATATCATGATAATACCTAATCACTGTTATTGTTTAAACTTTCTGAATGATATTTATTTAATATATTTTTTATATTTCCCAGGTGTCTCTGCTGAGGTGTACTACGTTCGCGAGGGTCACATAAATAACTACGCCCTGAACTTTATTGTTCCCGTACCGGCAAATGTTAAGGACATTAGTTTTACCTGGCAGTCGCTGGCGGGGCGTGGCCTGCCCTACAGCATCAATGTGGTCAGCTCCGATCAGGAAGTGCTGCCCCGGCCGGCGATCAATGTGTCACACAGTGGAGAGATCCCCACCAGCATCCAAACCTGGGCCATTGCCCTCAAGTGCAGCGGACTGAAGGCAGCGGAGGTGGACGTGACTGTTAGTCTGGAAGTGGTGCTGAATCGATCACTTAACAATGTGACTCACCTGGTGTTTCGGCGCAAGAAGATCTGCCTGGTGAGTGACAGTGCCGAGGGATGGACGGAGGAGGATGTGGACGATCCCCAGCTGCTGGAGACGGTGATGCTGCCACCCACCGGACTGATCACCCTGGTGGTGGGTGTATCCGTGGCCATGGGCTCCGTGTGCCTGCTTCTGATGATAGCCTACTGTGTCAAGGGAGCAGCCAACAAGAGGCAGCATCATCAGCACGGCGGACAGCCCATGAGGACGTCGAGTTTCCAGCGACTGAACACCCATCCGCCTTGCCAGTCTTCCATGGGTTCGGCGGCCTATATGACGCCATCGATTATAGCCCCAATTCATGGTTCCTCGCTGCCTCGCAAAGTTCCCGTATCCGTGGAGCAGCAGCATCCGGAGGAGCTGCATCGCCGTATTTCCGAGTTGACCGTAGAGCGCTGCCGCGTACGACTCTCCAGTCTTCTGCAGGAGGGAACCTTTGGGAGGGTTTATCGCGGCACCTACAACGACAACCAGGATGTGCTGGTCAAAACGGTGGCTCAGCATGCCAGTCAAATGCAGGTGCTGCTGCTTCTCCAGGAGGGCATGCTGCTGTACGGTGCCTCACATCCCGGAATTCTCTCGGTTCTGGGCGTTTCCATCGAGGATCACACCACTCCATTTGTCCTCTATCCCGCCCTGAATAATACCCGCAATCTGAAGCTGTTCCTGCTGGATCCGGCCTGTGCTCGCACAGTGACCACCATTCAAATTGTCATGATGGCCTCGCAACTGTCCATGGCCTTGGATCATCTGCACAGCCACGGTGTGGTGCACAAGGATATTGCCACCAGGAACTGTGTGTAAGTAAAGTGAAATTATTAAATATGAATTGATTTGGTTAAGTATTTAGTAGGTTTTTAATGATAAAGAAATTATTAACAAATATTAGAGATATATTTTTGTTTAGACAAATAATTAAATTGTTGAAACTAGCATTGTATTCTAATCATTACTTCAAGCTTAGAATCAATTAAAAAACAAATAAGTAAATAAATCATAAAAATCTAATCATTATCTAACCGATTTTCCCTTTCAGCATTGACGATCAGCTGCGGGTGAAGCTGTCTGATAGCTCCCTGTCCAGGGACCTGTTCCCCTCGGACTACAACTGCCTGGGGGACAGCGAGAATAGGCCTGTGAAGTGGATGTCCCTGGAGGCACTGCAGCACAAACAGTTCTCCGAGGCCAGCGACTCGTGGGCTTTTGGGGTGCTGATGTGGGAGCTGTGCACTTCAGCTAAGCAACCCTATGCCGAGGTGGATCCCTTCGAGATGGAGCACTATCTGAAGGACGGCTATCGGCTGGCGCAGCCCTTCAACTGCCCCGATGAACTGTGAGTATTCGAATTATTGATAGAGATCTTAACCGGCTGTCTTACTAATTCAATGGTCGTTCTTTTGTCTTCTCATTAAAGGTTTACGATCATGGCCTATTGTTGGGCCCTTTTACCTGGCGAGCGACCGACCTTTGCCCAGTTGCAGTCTTGTCTTTCGGAATTCTATTCACAAATCACGCGCTATGTCTAGGACATCGAATCATCCGAGGGGCGAGAGGCGATCGGCTCTTTTGAAGAGACCCAGCGATTTAACCTTAGTTAAACAAAGTCCTGTAGCCTACTTTACTATCTTATAACGAGATTTGCCAAATCGAATGTTTAGCCTTGCCCAGGCAGGCCCTTCATCTGTACATATAGTTAACATATTCAGCTCTTTAAGTACTTATCTCTAAGATTACTCTACGATACACATTTGACTCTCACCACATAGATGAAATAGTTCAGTTTGCACAGTTCTCTTCTCTCAATCCATCAAAACTAGCTAAAACGAAAGCCGAAATCAAATATAGTGATATTTATCAATAGGGTTAGTTAAACGCATAAGATTACACATACATATTTATGATGCATATAATACATGTTGTATGTTAAGCATTTTTGACACTTTACCGTTTATATGAGAGATTAAAACATGATATACAAATATATACACGTATATATACACTCATATGTATATGCCAAAACAATTCCAGAAATTACCAATTTGTTTTTATCCGATTTTATGGTTTCGTCGTTAAGGTTTTATCACCGTTTTCTGAAGGGTTCTTTTCCAGCACAAGTCACGCCCTCCTCGCCCTTGGAACTTGAGGTCGGGGCTTAGGGTTAGGGACTGTCTCCCACACACTTTTCCGGTGAAAATCGGCCAGGCAAATGAAGGAAATTTACGGCTTTCCTACTCGAGAGCACCGAAGGAAAAGGACAGGCAACAAAGTTACGTTCACGCACACAAATTAGCCATAAATTTTAATTTTACATGACAATGTTTTTGGGTTCAAGTGAGAAGTAGGGATAAAAAGAATTTTCTCAGAGACCCTGGAAGATGAATCAATTTTTTTTTGCGCCTCTCCACCTTGCTATCTCTGTGTGTGGGTGTGTGTGTGTGTGTGTTTGGGAGTGTCCTTGGCAGCGTAGATGAGCTCGGAAATATATATCCTGGTGCTGGCCCACAAATAGCATGTGCTACACGTGTCCTGCGTCCTGCGTCCTTCGGCTATTGTGTTTGTATTTGTGTTTGTGTTCGTGGGCGTGGGTCTTCCCTACACTTTGGAAGCCATTGCCAAGAGAAACGACTACGACGACATATCGTAAATATTTTGACAGAATCGCCTTTTGCTTTTGCTTTGGCGTTTTGGCCATTGTGTTACCAGCATCAACTTCCTTTATCCTTAGCACCTGCTGCCGCCTCCTGGTGGTAATCCTCGTGTTTGTGCGACTTGACCTGCTCCGTTTGCCTTGGCATTCCTGGTTATGGCCTTAAGCGGCTTTAAACTTGCTGCTGCTGCCTGTTGCTGTTGCTGTTGCTATTACTGTTGCTATTGCTGTTGCTATTGCCGTTGCTATTGTTGTTTGGCTTGCCGTCATTGTTGCTAATATATATTCCCCGAACGGAACAACAGGGCATTACGAATACGAGCCCCACGAAACGCAAACAGTGTACTTAAGCGCATAGTTTGTTTATACTTATTAGTTGATAATGTGGCATGTCGAACTGCAGTCGAGGGACCAAAGCAAACTGCGGGTGGCCAAGTTGTTTGACGACAGGTGAAGACGTTCGCATCGGAGTCGTTGGTCAACTAGTTAACTATTTTATGTGGATGGCTCTCAGAAAACAGCACTTACGGTCACTAAGTAAATACACAAGCCATTTAAACACTGTTGTCTCTGGCACAAAATTAACCTTTATTAGCTCGCTAATATTACTATTTATTAAAATTAAAAATTTTATTTTTATTACGCCATTTATTAGGGTTTTTATGTTTTGTCAAGCTCATATTTAACTTACTCTGAGAAAAATGGATTTAATTACTTATGTATTTTATAAATCAAAAATTTAGTTAAAAGTTGTTCCTACCAGCTCTATAATGATCCGAAAATTCTATTTCAAATTCATAGCATTAGTAAAAGTTAATAAAATGTTATTTTATTCATCATAGCAGTAGCTCTAAGGTCTTAAAGCGATCATTTCCGATCCCTGTCCGTGCTAAATTCTGCTCTTCCTCCCATCATTCTTTTTCGCCCTTTAAACAAGCTACCCAGACGATAAGCAAAATACTGACTTGCATTTCCGGCTTCTGTTGGGGCGCCATAGCAAGACAAGTCCCACCAACATTGATTTCATTCAGCGAAGAGGGACTGTTCCCAACCCAGCCCCACCTCATCAATGCCGATGTACTTTTCGAACATTTCCCGGGAAGCTGAAAAGGGGATACAAAACAGTCGGGAAAGGGGGGTGACTGACTGGTGGTGCCACCATTTCCATTTCACATGGCCATGCGATTTCCATGTACATCCATGTCTGACTCAAGTGGCAGCCGCTCCCCCTATTTCCCCCCCATTTTCCATCCCAACCCATAGGAGGTAACCCTACCACCCGCACTCGCTACCCGACTGCGCGTCGGTGATAATTTAAAAAGTTTATATGGCCAAACTGCCACGGATTGCCAGTGGTGCTGCCGTTGCTTTGCACCATTCTAATGACAACTTAAATAAACATCAACAATGGGGCAATGCGAGGAAAATTGTTGGGAGAAAAACCAGCTAAAGTCGATGGCTTCGACGGGAAGATACCCACTTTTCATAATTAAGCTTACAGGTCTCAGTTATCGCAAAACAACCAATATCAGCTTAGGTTACTTATTTTGTCTACTATTTTATTGAAGTTTGATCATATTCAATGAAAATTAACGAGTTACTTCAAAATCCCAATAAACTCTAGAATTCCTAAAGTACCCCTTATAAAAAACGATCTGCGAGGAAAATGGAAGTTCAAGTTTCTCATCGTCTAGGGCGGCCCATTGTGAGGAAATATTTATTTTCTATAAATTATTTTCGATTATCGCTGCTGGACTCCCCCCTCGATGGCTGGAGCACTAAATAAATACACTGAGCTGCAATTAAAGCTAAACAAAATGCATAATTTCTGCGCATTTGTTGATAAGCTGGCATTCGTTTGGGGAAATCCAATTCCCCCGCTGTTTTTTAGGGGAGTAGGGGTACAAATTTATGTGCCTCGCTTCCGCTAATGGAATTTTAATGTTTCATTGGAAGTAGACGCATAAATTTGGGTTTTGGTCAAAAGACCAATAACGAAGTCCATAGGAGAAAATTCCCATTGAGTTTCCCATATTTTTACAAACCAATTGCTAACAAGTAAAATTGTTGTTATGAGTAAACGAGTTGGCCCATTTAGTTCATTGGCGCCGCAATTCCATAGAATCGAACAAACAGAAAAATAAATAAAAAACCAAAACATTTTTGAATTGGTTTTAATTGGAAGACAGCAGGTAACAGTGGGGGGACTCAGAGCTGAAAAGTGTCGAGAGAAATAGTGATAAAATTGTGTATGTCATTTACATTTACTGCCTCATTGTTTATATGAAATAAGAAACAACAAATACCCTTTTAATGTCTACTATCAAGAATATTCTGTTACTCATGCCACTTTCAGTCGTCTAAGCATTTCTTAAAGGACATATTTCAAATTTTCTTGGTAATCCATACTAAGAAAACACAATTTCTAACTTCATTCAATAGAAACATATTCGATTGCACATTTTGTTTGGGTAGCAAAGTCTTTGCCAACTATTTGACAGATAGAAAGATGTAAGTCCTAACTGAGTTATTCACGCAAATCCTTTAATGCCATTTATCATATGAGGTGCACACACATTGCCGAATCATGTAAAGTGCAATGCAGCCAGGCACTGGCACCGAGCCTGATCCCTTGGCAAGAACAACATTAAATTGAAACAAATTGAACATAAAAAACATTCAAAATAAGGCAAACACCTCGACGTTGAGAAAGGTGCCAGGATACAGGACCCTGCAGCCAGGACGCAGAATTCAGGACACAGACGAAGACGAAGACGAAGACGAGTTGCTGCCAAGGTAAACACCCAACGACACCGAAAACTACGAGAGAAAGTTTCTAGTAGAAAGTTAATTTTTTCCCTGTGTTACTGCTGCACCGAAAAAAATGGGATTAATTTATTTTATGGTAAGTTTTAGAAAAGATGTTGTAACTTTTTTTCTTCTGAGGGTTATTCAAAGACTAATTTTTTCTTGTCTTGAAAATTGTTTAATGTTGTCTTTAAAATGATATAAAATGTTATATATTAAATACAGATGGTTATATGAACAAAATTGAACTTTAAAAACTACCTAAAGAAAAAGGAAAATAATAGATATTTTAGATAAATATTTAATTTCGTTGCAATGTTGAATTTACTAAGAAAGGAGTTCAAAGAGATTAAATGACTACAAATTTTTCTCTGTGCACTGCTGCTGGAAAATCAGGCAAAGGTACACAACAGCAAAGGGAAGAGCATAGGAAACGGAAGTATTTTCTGTTGATACTGAACTCAATTTAGACGAAATCAAGTCAAACATGGCAGCTACCAGAAAAAGGAGCAGGGGATTGGTGGCACGGCAAGCGGCCACAGGAAATGTTGTAGTAAATCATGTGGGTGCCGGAGCCGTGAGGTAAGTGGAAGTGAGAGCCGGAGCCGGAGTCGGAGGAAGTGGGTTGTGTGCAGATGCCAAAGAAATGCGAATGCTCAAGACGATGTCCTCCCACACTTCCCCGAAAAGAAGTTGACAAAAATACAAGCGCCCAGGAACAAAAAAAAAAGAAAGAGGAGACCAAACTCGAGGCTTGATTGATGTTTGTGCTGTTAGTTGTTGTTTGCGCAGGGCGGCAAGTGGCGGCCCAAGTCGGTGTATTAAAGTTTCGATTAAAGATTTCGATTTGGGGCGGACGGCAATTTGGACTGCCTCAGCCAGGAGAGCGGCCACTAATCAATCCTTGTCCAAATGTTTATATGTCCAGAATTAAATGAAGGCAGCCCAAAGTGAAAGTCATGGTTTGAGTAACCAAATAACTTGGAAACACGTGGAAAGAAATTGGGCTTTGGCTTAAAAATGAGATGCGAAATTGATGCACTTAAATTTTAAAGTTTGGATTTTACCACAATCAATTGTGTTAAAAGTTCATTTCACAACAATTGCAAATATGTACTTCGCATTTGCTTCGTTATTATTATTTTAAAAACCTTTTGTTATTTGCCAGCCATCAATTATCGATAGAGACCAAACACAAATCAAAGTTGTGTAAACATGCTGTTTTAAATATATTGCCAGCCATGTTTTTGACTGCACACATAACATACTATACCCCTCAACTGTGCGGGGTATAAAACAAACAATGAAATGGGTAAAAACTGTTCCAGGTTGCCATTTTTCTAGTTCCACTCCGGGGCTCGTTTTAATGGCCTTAGCTCTCGTTTTCCTCGTTTCGGATGGACTCCGCTCCGACTCGGCTGCAGCCTCATCCGGATTTAGGGTTGGAGTTAGGGACTCTCAGCATGTGGTGCCAGGGATTTGGTGTCCTTGCTATCCGTTTGTACATTTGTACGTTTATCCGTTTGTCCGTTTGTCCGCACTTTCACTGCCCGCCGCTCTCTATTTACAGTTTTTT